CCCATCCACAACGCTGCCAAGGTTGAAAAACACTGCTTTAGATGGAGATGTTTTGTTGCACAAACCCAAACCAGAACGTATATATTCACCTGTCACATTCTTCCCTTCCCTTTGCAGCTGCTGTACCTTCAGTAGACTAGTTTGTGCCTATAGCATCACTCCTTTTCCTATCAAAGTTGACAACCTTGATTTTGTTTTTCTTGTCTGAGCACTTAAGTATTTCTATACCTCCTCATCCCCAAGGAGTCCTCCGTATCATTTTAGCTCTTTTATTCTCAGAGCAATCCTGTGAGCTAAGCTAGGTGGAAAGAGAGCAGACAACCCAACCATTGGGTGAGTTCCAGGGCTTGATGTGAGTTCTCTGCTTGAAACTGCAGCCCTGGCAAGTAGCTGCATGAGACATTTGAAAACAGCATGAGAAGCAGAAAATCCTTCTTCCCATATGTATGTCTCAGCTCAGCAAAAAGAGAAAACAATGAGAAATGCTTTGATTTTATTATATACCATCAATTCAGTGCTGATTGTTAGAGACCACATAAATTTTCTCCAGGATGCTCTTTCCCCAGATCCTTCAGATCTTCCAACAGGGTAGTCATCACCGCTAGAATTGAGACCATCCAACGTACTGCTGGCTGCTGCCTTCTTCTCGTTTCATTCAACTTTCCCAGCATGATGGACTTCTCCAGAGAATTAGGTCATATGTGCAGAATACAATATGATAATTTGAGCCTGATCATTTGTGCCTCGAGTGAGAACTCTGGGTTGATTTGTTCAATGATCCATTTGTTCGTTTTCTTAACTATTCATGGCACTCTCAAGAATCTTCTCCAACACCACATTTCAAAAGCATCAATACTCTTTCTATCTTGCTTCTTCAAAGTCCAATTTTTGCTTCCATAGAGAGTCACAGGGAAAAGAATTGCCTGCATGATTCTGATCTTTCTAAACAGAGCCTAGGACCTGAATAGCTTTTTCCAAAGCTTTCATTGCTACACTAACCAAGTGCTAGTCTGTGGTGTATTTTTGGCTACTGGTTCCTTCACCATTGGTCGCTGATCCTAAAAGGCAGAAGCTATCCTGAATTTCTAATGGGAAACGAAGTCTGGTACTGCTATTCACTATCCATTCCATTTGGGCTATTCACCCCATCCTAAAAAACTAACCCAAGAAAAGCCAACAACTTTGGCTCCTCCCAAATGTACTCCAAGGGCCATAAAAGTTAGCCCTGGAAAATTTAAAGCTGATATTTGACTACTTTCCAATCTGTTCTTTATTGCCTAATATTGACTGATGGCCAACGTTTGATAGGAGAAACTCCTACCAGGGCCGGGTCTGTTTGTTTTTATTGCTTTTAAAATAACAGAAAAAGAAAAAAGGGAACAAAGAACAAAAATACATATATTACCAAATAAAAATAACTTATGAAGTGCTTAAAAAGTGAAAAATACAAAAATATATATATAAAGTATAATATGTCATTACAACAATAAACAGTCACAATTCTATATCTAATTTTCTAATACAAACATTATGCAAATATATATATATATTTATTTCTAATACATTTATATTACTATCATGCTTCTTTTTTTAACCTACTGCATTTTGCATAAATGAGTCCCATGTTTCATTATACTTATCCCTGCAAAGTCTACTATTGGCAATTCACTCATAGGTGGCACATATAATCAAGTCTTTGATCCATTGAGTAAATGGGGCAGGGTTAAGGTAGACGTTGTTTGCTTCAGTAGGTTAACCGGAGAGAGAAAATATGTATAATGCCATCCTTGGTACCCAATTTCCTGCCTTCCTGCTTTTTTAAATTGTTTCTTTTGATATCAACATCAATCAACACGTGGGGAGCTGTCATGGTGGAAAACAAGCGGCCCCCTCCAGCCCTTCTCTCTCTTTGCAAGAATGCCTCTGGGCCCCGCATGGGCCTCATACACGATCTTGAAAAATAAACCTGAGAGAGCTGCAACCCAGAGCTTTGTCCTGCAGAAAAGTGGGAAGCCTCCTGAGAGAGTGAATCCGATGGGGCGTCACCTCAACGGTGTTGGGTAATGAGATTAAGAGACAAGGAATATAAATTATCAACCTTTATATCTATTTAAATATCCAAAAGGAAAACTTAAATATAAAATATGTCTTCAACAATACAAAAGCAACAACAAAGAATATAAATAATATAGTATAAATATACCAGACCGCAGGGAATAAGCAGTGAGCCTAAAAAGGTGAAATCAGGAAAGCAGCAGAACAAGTAAGAGGAAAGATACTTCTCTTATACAGAGTTTGCCACCTGATTCTAATAGTTCAC